GGGATTGAAGAGCCCATTCGTAGTATGGTTCGGTTTCTTCATGAAGGAAAGCAAAGGCTACACTGAAGGACTGGTTAGATCCAGTGACGCCGGCAATGTGCAGGAGGGGCATGCGATACTTATTCGTCTTGTAGGTGCAATCGAGGAATAAGACATAGTGGAAATGACGGAGGAGGTGAAGGGAGTGGTTGTGACAGAAGAAAAGACCAAGAATTTCGCCAGAATCGTTTACCTTGGTTGCTGAGGTGAAGGCTGTCGTGAGGGTTTGATTCAGATGAACAATCGGGCTGATTCCGCGTAACTCTTCTGCGCGAGCCTTCTTTCTGGCAGAGTAAACGGTCAAAATGGTGGCCAAGATCGGCTTATCGGGATTGGTCTTCTTGAGTGATTGAAGAGTCTGGGCCGGTGTTAATCCCGCATTGCCTAGTTGCTTCATTTGCTCATAGATCTCCTTCGAGAGTTTTCGGTTGGCGGTGTGCGCGGACGGATCTTTGCTGGGTGCATGATTATGTCGGGGATCGGCCACGGTAAACTTCCATTCCCCCCCGGCCTTCATCTGGATCTGGGCCCTCACGTCAAATGGGCAATCGATCAGTCGACTGACAATGGGTCCGGAGCGTGTGTCATTTTTCCGTCTGTTTCGAGCTGGGTTACCACCCCTACACATAAGATGGAGAAAAAGGACGGCCATTGAGCATGAGCTACGATTTGAGTGCTATGCAGAAGCAGGACTTACCTGTCACATTAGAAAGTGATACTCTTCCCGGGAACAGTCCTCTTCCTGACAATGACAAAACCATTTTCTCGAGCAAAGGTTTTGATGGAGTGCTCGAGGATCAATGGGTCGGAATAAGTGGCCGCAGGAGGAGTGGGTATGTCGGTATGTGGTGCTTGCGCTGGTGTTGGGGGATGGTTGGGGTCTTTGTTGTTTTATTTGTCTTATCTTCCGGATCTGACTCGGGCTCGTCCTCCTCAGCGTTGTCGCCAGTGTTCTTGTCGGCTTGACTTGCAAGTAGCTCTAAGCATTTTTCGATGGTTACTGTTTCGTCATCTTCAGCGGTTTCTGCGTGATTGCCATCAGATTCTTGTTCATCTTTACTGGTGATGGGGCTGACTGGTGCTGTTGCCTTGGGTTTGACAGGGGGGGTGGTTGGTTTTCAGGGGGTCCGGTGACGGGGCGGATTGTTTCCTTGGGTTTGACGCCGGTGGGGGCAATCGTGGCTGAGGGTCCAGAGAAAAGAACTTTTTCGGAAGGCGCACCAGGGATGTCGACTCCTACGGGGGCCAAGAGGCTTGGATCAAGCTTGGCCGGGTTGGGGGGGTTGACAACTGCGGTCCGGGATGCGACGACCCCCGCAGTTGGCCCGACGACTGCCGTTTTTTGCGCGACGACTACCGTTGTTTGCGCAACGACTCCCGGGGCCAAGGTGAGTCCGGTGGCGGGGGCGGCAGCAACAACTCTGTTCCGTGGGCTAGCGACTCCCGCCCCTGCGGCGACGACGGCAGTCCCCGGCGTGACGACTCCCGTCTCTTGGGCAGCGACTCCCTCTCCGGCGTGGACGACTCCTGTCCCGGCGGCGACGACGGGGGTCCCCGGCGTGACGACTCCCGTATCTTGTGCAGGGACTCCCTCTCCGGCGTAGGCGACTCCTGTCCCTGGAGCAACGACTCCCGTTGCCCCAGCGGCGACTTCCGCGACGACTCCCTTGGATCCTGCGGGGATTCCGACCCCGATGACGACCGACTGTTCCGGCTGGTGACCATCGGCTGTTCCGGCTGGTGCCATCGGCAGTGACTTTCGGCAGCTCTGGCCTGTCGGCGGTGACCTTTGGCGGCTCTGGTCCGTCCGCGGTGACCTTTGGCGGCTGTGGCCTGTTGGAGGTGTCATTTGACAACTGGGAGGCAGCCTCAGCCGCGGGAACCTCGGCGGCGTCAAGCGAGGGCTGGAGCCCGTTGGCGGCTTCCTTTGGTGGCGCGAGCGCTTCGGTGGGGTGAGCGGGGATGGTGGGGTTGCTTGGGTGGTTTGTTGGTATGGGTAGTTGGTTGGGTGGTTGGGTAGTTGGTTGGGTGGGTGGGGGGAGTGGATATCGGAGGAGGGGAGGATATGGGTGTGGAGCGGCGACTCCTGCGTGGGAGAAGAAACAAGGTTTCTTCTCCCCAGCCGACTCCTAGGTATTTTCCAACGACTCCTGCGAGACGAAAAAAAAAAATTAAAGATCAAATTGGGGAGGCCGACTCCCGCCCTTTAGGCGGACGACTCCCAATTTTTTTAATGAAAAAAAATAAAAAATATTTGGCTAAATTGGTACAACGACTCCCGCCCTTTAGGCGGGCAACTCCCATTTTTTTAATAAAAAAAATTAAAAAATCGCCATTGAAATTAGGACGAAGACTCCCCTTTTTTTGGGGGGAATTGGAAGAACGACTCCCGTTCGACGACCTCCCAACCAAAACAGGAGTCGTCGACTAATTTTTAGGAGTCGTTTTTCCAAGCCCCAAAATTTATACATTGGGGGCCACAGGGGGAGGGGAAGGGATCAACGCTATGAAAAAGTTAAGGAAGCTCCTAGCCAAAGGGTAATTTCTGCTCCTGCTGAAAATTTGACTTAATAGGCAAGTCCCTTCCCTACGGAAGGGGGTCCTTTGCACCCAGTGCCAGTGTTACACAGCAAGCCTCCCACTAGGGGGGACTTGTGTTGAGTTGGACCCACTCCAGTAACCCTAGCTCCCACAAGCCTCAGGGTGGCCATAAAATTCCTGGAAGACCTGTCACAAGGGCTCTCCTGAGGGCATATATTTGAATAATAAGGTCCCCAAAGCAAAACCAAATCATAGAAAAGAAAAAAAAAGTCAAAAAATATTTCAAAAGCCAACAAATGGTCTTCAGGACCCTATCCTTGGCAATCTGTAATTGCACCAACCAAAAGCACACATCCTTGGTGGTTTTCATTAATGCTCACTGGTGTGCACTTTCTCAACAATCACCATGAAAAAAAACCATGTAAATTGCTGACAGGTGACATCATGAGGCTCAAACCCAGCTTCTGTCAAGCTCAGGGTGAAAAACAGGCCAATCTCCACTGCACATTAAATGTGCATGATTCACAGTAACTGTGAAAAAATTTACTGACTCAACAAAGGTGCAAGCTTCATCTGGAGAGTCTTTGATGTCACTTGCTAGTAAGTGATATTGCAGCATTCTTGGTGAATATTGATTGAAAAATAAGTTATATTAGAGTCAAGAACAAAAAAGATATCACTAACAACAGCTGATCTAGACTGTAACATGAATGAGAGAAAGAGAGTGTTCAGATATTGCAAAACGAGGTATGTCTTGCAATGGACAAGGGATTGGAGACCACTGGAAAGAGAAGTGCAGAGGTAGAGTTAAATTGAAACATGAGAGGATTGAAAGAGGAAATCCATAGATCTAAAGCAGATTTGAGGCAAAATTGATTTCATCAATGGGAATTATTCATCCATCAAATCAATGATGTTGAATTACAATTGAGATATTTGTGTTGAAGTTGAAGAAACCTGGAGTTGGTACACTCTCAACGTAAGCTGTAGTTGGATATGATATCCGGATTGGTAGTTTCAAATTTGTATCCTGTAATGAATATGTAGGTTGATTCTGGATTTTTTCTGTCATTTCAGTCATTCAAAAACAGGAAAAACCAGTCATTGATGATGAATCAAAAATCAGGTTGGAATTAAGAAATAAATTAACAATTTGATTACTTGACTGAAAAAAAATGGCAAAATGGAAACTTTCACTGGAAGCCACTACAGAGTTTCATCTTTTGAAAAATTTCTCAATGAGCAAAAACCAGCATAATAGTACTTCTCCTTCAGTAGGCCAATCACAGTTTTCCAATATGCTCGATCATTTTTAAAAAGATTATCAAAGTAATCATGTTTTTTGTTCTTATACCAGTAACCAATTAAAGTCAAACCAACATGAATAGTCCTATCATATGTCCTTGTATCACTGAAGTAATGCATTAAATAGATCTGAGTTGGGTAAAAATGTGACTTGGAAAGAAGGAAATTTGACTTGGTTTGATTTTTCAACACAAAATTACCAAAGATTGGTAATTTGCCATTGCCTGGGTTGATGAAAATATCATAGATCCATTGGAAAAACTTCTGCTCGAGATCACTTTCAGTTTGAATGCCGCAGTGATTGATGTATTGGAGGAATTCCGAATGACATACTTTCAAGTGGACTATCAATGATTCCAACTTTATCTGAATGTAATCAGTTCTAGCGAGGTCTCCAGCTTTGGTCTCAATCCAAACGTATCCGTCCAAACGAGTTTCTTTATCGTTGAAACTAAGCGATCGTAGTCGGGCAGGAAATTCTTCAGATTCCACTTGTGTTTGCAATAACTCAAATTCTCTAAATTTCGGTCTGGTTTTGGAAAAAACTTCTCTATAATGTTTTATAATCTCTCGTTCTTTTTTTCCTAGGCCTACATTGTACATAACTCTGTGTGACTTGGGTTTCATTGAGTATGGAATGATTTCTAGGTCGCAGATGGCAAAATTCTCTAAGTTTCGTTGTGCACCAACTACATCAGATCCTCTTCCAACAATCATCTGCGATCGAACTGCCTCGGCGATGAGGGAGTTAATCTTCAAATCAAAATCTTCTTGATTAAGACCTCCCAGCCCCTGGTAAATTTCGGGTTTGAACTCCTTATAGTAAAATCTAACAATTGAAAACGCGGCTTGACGAGTTCTGTCTGATTGTTGTAAGGATGATAGGCATCTGATCAATATCCTCTGTATCGGTCCGAATTCGTTTCCTCGTCCAAAACCATGAAGAGCATCAGAACTGATCATTCCAATAACGGGTGCGCTATTTCTCGGATGGAAAGCCTCCTGGAAGAGGAAGTTTATTAGTTGATGATGAGAATCGAGTTCAGGCTTGTTTATCTTTTTCGTTAAGTCTGACTGTCTCAGTACGGCGGAATTGGTAAAAAGGAGCCATTCAATTAAGTCGACAAAAAGTGCAAAAAGTTTGGTAGTTTTTTGGATATTTCCTCGGCTTGGATTGCTGGTAGGAAGTTGATGATCAATTCCAACCCTGATGATGTATAAACCATTTGTTTTAGATATCCTGGTTGGCAATCCTTCTATTGGATAGTCATTTTGATTTTTTGTTTTGTATGCGTGTTTGAGGATTTCCAAAACATAATGCTTGAATTTTTTGGTAAAATTTCCCAAAACTTCGTCATCCATACTTTTAGATAGGAAACCGGGTTTTTTAGGAATAATTGACCGTGTGGTTACGTCCACATTTTCGCTCTGATCTGCGTCGTGAGCTTGAAGAGACTCGTTGGGATCTTCGGCCTGGTCTTCCTCTAGCGACTCCTTCGACGAGAACCGACGATTCTCGTTCGATTGACTAGATTCGCTGCGGGAGTGGGCGTGCGAGCTACCTAGAGCTTGCGGTCCTAAATCCCAAGAGTCGCGCGATTCTGAACAGGAAATCAGACATGCTTTTCCCAGATATATAAAATTCAATTTTGATTTTCTCATTACTTACCTTGATTTCTGGGATGTTCCTTTGCTTGCTCCTCAGAATGGTGGACTTCATGACCTTTGCCAGCATGTGGTCGGTATTGGATTGGCGGATGGTCTTGAAAATGTGCTTGACATTTTTCAGCATCTGGTTTTGGTTGGGGGAATTTCGAGAGTACTTGGACGTGATCTGAAAGGGATGATGATTTTTGAGCAGCGAAGCTTGCAAATTCAGGGGACTGTAACTGTTTGAACAGGCGAGATATCTTGAGATCATCATCTTCAGGACCCATTTCACGCTGCGGCATAGATTCAAACATAGACTCTGGTGTGGGTTCATTTGAATGTTCTTTTTCGGGAGTAAAGAACATTTCTTTCCGCAGAAATGAGTGGGATGGTAGATCATTAGATGGAAAGAATGAGGTTAGCGAAGTTGGGTCGGTAGGAAAGCTCGCAAGTTGGTAAAAGTCTTGGCTTGATCGATGAAGACCTTGTGCTCCTGATTGAGGTGTAAATAGAGACAGCAGCTCAGATCAACTACCCATCCCCTTGGCAGGATTGCCACATTCTGTTAACTCACCTTTAGATACCATCTCTGGGAACATTCTGTCTTGATTGACGCCAGGATATAAAGCATTCAGGCCGAGATTCGACTGCGGATGGAAACCACCATGGCCAAGTTGAACTGTCTTTGGCCTTTTAGCAACAATTGAAATCACATTGTCTTCAGGATTCACTGCTTTGAAAATGCCATAAAGGGATCAGCTGGTAGAACGTGCAGAGGTTGGTGGGAAATTTATAACTGATTATCATACCTTGATAGTTATTATGGGCGCCAAGGTCGATCCAATGGGCACCACCGCCGGAAAAGTCTGGTTGATGGGGGGTCTGGTGATTTGCCGAAGGACGCTTCCGGTAGACCACGTCGTAAAGATCTCCTTGGCTTGAATGAAGATCGGAACCGAATAGATAACTTTCTTCTAGGCCCTCAAAGGCTGGCTTGGCCCATGCCAAAGTGTTCCCGAGAGCAAAAATGCATGCCACTGATCGATTGAAGAAAGAAGCAGAGTGAACAATATTCCAAGGCATCTTCGGGCAAAGTGTGCTCAATGCTCACATTACGAGAATGCTCAGGCCTTCTAAAAATACCTATCAAAGAATTCGAATGTGAAACTTGAGAAGTGAGATAAGCTAGGTGTTTTGATTTGAGTTGGGCATCCCGAGGGTGTGCCTGTATGTACCAAGTCTTATCTTGGGAAACAGTCTTATCTTGGGAAACTTGTCAAGATAGGGTAAAGATGGGAAAAGTACGGAACTCAACGTTCAACCCCGGAAGAACACATTCTTCTGTTTATGTATGTGAAGGTGCCATCACTGAGCCTATGCCGTCTATGTAACTGCGACAAGGGGGTGTGTGTGTCTCTTACTATGAGGTAGCGACTACCAGAAATCGAATGGCGGCATGCTTAAGGGGTCGTTGGTAAGGTGCTCAAACCTCAATGCTTACAGCAATCCCATCGCGGTTATCGCCTTGAGCAAGCGGAAAGAACTACGAGCCAGCGAAATCATCAATCCACTCACATAAGGCTGCTGCCAGCTTATTGTCAATGTACCAGCAGGTGCACTGCAAGCCAGCCAGTGACAGAAACATGTGATGTTCACGCTGCTAGATAGGGAGGGATGGCCAATGGGCAGCATGAGTGAAGGTCAATTATCAACTCTTTCTTTTTTCCTCTTTGATCACCAAATATAAGCTGGCAATTAGAATCGAAGGATGGAACTGGAGGACTGGGGGACTTCCCGTCGGGATTTAGACGCCAGTCTAAATTCTAAATTCTAAAATTCCTTGTCTAATTCCGAATTTCATCACCAAAAATTGGAAAATAGAAATAGGAAATAGGAAATAGGAAATAGCCGGGTTTCTAAACTGATGGGAAGTCCTCCAGTCCTCCACTTCCCGTCGGGATTTAGACGCCAGTCTAAATTCTAAATTCTAAAATTCCTTGTCTAATTCCGAATTTCATCACCAAAAATTGGAAAATAGAAATAGGAAATAGGAAATAGCCGGGTTTCTAAACTGATGGGAAGTCCTCCATTCGCCATCTTTGTCTGCTTTGTTTTTTGGTTTACATAACTTCAACCTGGTGTCTGAATCTGTAATGTGAGCAAGTTTTACAGAAGACTCTATCAAGGGAGATCAGAGAAATATTACGATCAGAGTTTTTCCGTATCACATTGAGACTCTGGTTAATACTCGGCCGTGACCGATTATGCTCATTCATATAATCATGACGGAGTTTCTCAAAAAGAACAGACCTTTGAAGTAAGTTTTTTTTTTTTTTTTTTTGGCTTCGAGCAAGCGTGATGCAGCATTCGAACTGATGGCTTCATACTCGATCGGTTGGCCCAAGCTTTCGATAAAAAGGGGATGACTCTGACTGCAGTGAGATCGATCGATGATCATCATCAACACCCAAGAAATCAAACCATTTCTGGACTCTCTCGGCAATAGTACCCCCACATAGCTCATGGCTTACTCTGACCGCTCGGACAATTCCACTCGGCGATCAATAAAACACCGCGATTCGAGCCTGAAATGACGTCACAGTCTTTTTTTCATGTTGCTTTGATCCTTGTGATCACAATTTTGCGCCCAAGGCAATTTACTCAGATTCACTCAGATGATCATTAATCGATCTTACTCAGCCAGGCCACCGCATGAGCGTGGCGATGGCGGAGTTCACGAGGATCGGGGGAGCTCTTGTCTGGCGGTTGAAGCCGAATTTCAATCCTCGAAGATATAAAGGTATACTGCTAGTGCTTGCAACTTCCCCGCTGCCACCTCCGCCATCCAACAAAATACGAAACAATCGCATCTAAGAAAAAAAAATCATTCGTCAATTTCATCCAGTCTAGTCAAGATGGCAAACCCAGGTAACGTTGCAGGTGGTCTCAAGGCGACCATCAACAACCCTGTAAATCTTCGTTCCACTTGCTTGAAGTTGTTTAATCCTATCCGCTCATGATCACAGGCTTGACTAACGTTCCATTTCCCCTTGCATTCTGCGTCCTTTTACCTTTGTGTATATGGGGGATGACACCTCCGCAGAACGTCTCAGAACAAGCCAAAGCCAACGCCGAGCACAGATTAGAAACCGAAGAATTTCCATCGGTGGCCGACGAAGCAAACCAATCCAAGAACCCAAACAACGTCGTTGGAGGTATGAAAGCTGCCATCAATGTTCGTAACTTTAGTTTTCTAGCGATTATCTTCTAAATACTACATTCCACACATCTACAGATCCTAACATTGCCTTCTTGATCGCCTCTCTTGCACAGAACCCTAACGTTTCTGAAGAGAAAAAATCCGAGCTTCGCTCTAAACTCGATGACGCATAAGCACTTGACTAGCATTCAGTTGTTTATAAGCTCTTTTTTTTGTACCAGCATTCAGACGTTGTGTATAAGCTCGTTATTGAAGTCCTTATAACACTTTTTATCAAGACGGGCGCGGTCTTCTTTGTGCATTAGTTACTTTGGCTCTGACCTGTAAAGTTAATAAATCTATCAAGTTACGACCTTGATTCTTCATTCGTGCCCCTTACGCATGATGTCATCACTTGGGTTGAGATGGTTTACTAAGCTGATCGTAAATGATTCATGCCGACTTGCTGGACGGTGATAAAGCTCTTGGGGTGAAAGAGAGAAAGTGATAACACACTGGAGGACTTCCCGTCGATCTGGAACCCTTGATTTGGAAGGTCTAATCCTAGATCCCAAACTCAATTTGGTGAAGAGAATCAAGTGACATTGACTTCTCATCAGCAAACAAGATTTGGAATCTGGCTTTAGGAAGGCTAAATCTAGGATCCCAGACCGACGGGAAGTCCTCCACTGGTTGATCAATCTAAATTCCAATGACGACTGGCTGAGTGCTGTGAAATCAGACCATTCCTGGAATCTCTCCGCCGTTCGTAGCTCATGGCTTACCCAGCTCTGAGTCCTGACGGATCAGATAACTGGACTCCACCCACGAATCTAATTGCGGACACCGCGACCTTACCCAGACATGACGTCATAGTTTTTTTTTTCATGTTGCTAATTTGATCTTTGTGATCAGGATTTTGCGGACAAGGCAATGTATTGATTTAGATTGGCTCGAATGATCGTTGGCCTTGTAGTGTTGAACATCCGGAGAGCCTCAAGCCGAATTGGAATCCTGGATTCCCCGAAGATATAAAGCAAACTGTTTGCCACTTCCCCAGTAGCACCTCCCCCATCCAACCGAAATCTCGAAAAGTCGCATCTAAGATAGAAAAAAACAAAGCTTTATTCGTCGATTTCATCCAGTCAAGACAAGATGGCAAACCCAGGCAACGTTGCAGGTGGTCTCAAGGCGACCATCAACAACCCTGTAAACCGTCGCTTCACTTTATTGAAGTTGTATGTAATGCTATCCGCTCGTGATAGGCTCAACTGACGTTCTGTTGCCCCTCTCGATTCTGTCACCTCTTGTCTTGGGTCATGTGGGGGGATGACACCTCTGCAGAACGTCTCAGAACAAGCAAAAGCCCACGCTGAGGACCGATTAGAAAAAGAATTCTCACTGGTGGCCGACGAAGGAAACGAATCCAAGAACCCAAAGAACGTCATTGGCGGGATCAAAGCTGCCATCAATGTTCGTGTTGATTATCTTTTACTTGCTCCATTCTGCACATCCATAGATCCTAACCTTTCCGTTGTTCATCAACACAGAACCCTAACGTTTCGGAAGAAAAAAAATCCGAGCTTCGCTCTAAACTCGATGACACCTAAGCCCTTGACAAGCGTTCAGTTGTGTTCATAAAAGCTCGTTTTTGAAGTCATTTCTTATCCCGTTGTACCACGAGCGTGCAACCTCGTGCATGAGGCACTTTGCCTCTGAGTAAAACTGTATCAATCAAGTTACGACACTGTTGCTTTATCCATGACCCTCACCCATGATGACGTCATCACCTGACTGAACAGTTTTCAAAGATTGTCTCTATCAAAGTGATTGTAAGTGATTCATGTCGACTTGTGAAAGCCGGTCAACACCGAATTTGTGAGTAAAATGTTGCAATCCAGTACTCAAGATGGATTTGATTACAATTTGCAAAGCCAGCTTTCGATATAACTCATAATTAGCGTGACCTGCCTTTATCTGAAGCATCCTGATTCGTTGATCTATGTACCATACACACGTCTTGACGCATTTTTTCTTACTCCTGGAATGACTCATAGTAAAATGAGCAGAATAGCATCTCCAGAACAAGTTGATTTCCATAAACATTGATTGTTGTTTTGATACCTCACAAAGGCCAGTCGAGGTTGTGCATCTAATCAGGATTTTTCTTATCATCTCTTTAAGGTGATCGATTAACCTTAGAATTCTCTTGTATTTTTCTCAATAAGGTTAGTTTGTCAGTCCTTTGGTTAGGATGAATATATATTTACAACTATTTTGAACAAATGAACAAGCACCAGAGTTTCATCTAAGATCATCTGAATCTAAGGGTAAGATAGGGAACTTGTCCTGCTCCCATTTAATCCAACCAGCCTCTAAGTCAATAGAGTCTTGTAGCGAATCAAATAAGATCGAACTCGACAGCAGAGAATAACGACCATTATTTTTCTCGGATGGGGAGGGATGAAATAGCCATCCAGTCGATCGATCGATCTTCAACCGACTCGGCTCAAAGGTCCTCTTCAATGATCCACCATACATCAATTCGTCTATTGTTGATTAATTTGTGGAAAAAAGAAGATTACAGAATACATCAGACTGAGGTTGACTATCTTTTTCCAAGGAGAGATGCACGGTAGTGAAACTCTAGAAGTAAGAGAGAGAAAGTTATTACTCACTGCTTGAACAATCCAATGTCTTATAGACGATCGGAGTACTACTTGACCTAATGTAGTTGATTTCTCCTTGACACTTACTGACCCATCGAAACCCATTTTTGAAATTCTCTTGACTCAGTCGAATTTCTTCTGGATCGATAGACTGATCGTCACGAGAATCGGATTCGACTTGATTCTTCCTCAACTTTTTGAATAAGATATTTAAAAAAGTTACATCTCCTGAAAAAATAATCCTTATCATTATTATTGTTCCGTTTGTGCGTGTGTTTTTCAGCGTAGTTCGAGTGACGAGTCAGGTGATAATTGTAAGATGAATATTAGTTAGTCAGTGAAATTTTTCAAGAATGTTAAGGTGATGAGCCATTACAATGGAAATGTGATCAGCTCAACTATAGCAATTCGTGAAGTTTCGTGAGCGGACTTCAGACAGATAAACTCGCCCGTTGAGATCGATGTCGTAGTTGTAGGACCTCAGTGGCTTTCCTGCGGGCTGATGGAGAGGTGATCGAGAAGATAACGAGCGAGATCCGAGCATCAGCCTCCACATTTCGTCCTTCAAGGAATACTCCGGGTCAGCTGGTAAATATTTGTAGTCCTTTTTTTTGGCGGGATGAGTGTGCGACTGTGCGGCCTGATTGGGACTTGCGAATGTTGTCTTTCAGTTATGATGTGATTGATCTCATCCTCGGAAAATCAGTCCAAGCAGTGCACTCTTCAAAACACAATCCATGTCGTCATTACAGCAGCCAGCACCCGCGGGCTACCCGACGACTTCCCGACCCTAGGGTATACCCGTCCCGTGGGTACGCCAGGACAAACAAGGCCTACCTGTGAGTACAGGCCGTGAGTATTCAATTCACCTGAGGGGCAAGAGGGGCAGTGGATGACTTCCCGTCGAAATCTGCAGGTCTACCAGTTTTGATTTAGAGCCACAAAAGCTAGATTTCCCTGCAAAAATCTAGACTTTTCAGGTCTAAGAGCATCTCTAACGGTCCGGGGGGCAGTTGACTCGCGTTCCCCGGGCCACGACCACATTTCACAGAGGTCGCGGGCCAGCTCCAATTATGGACTGGCACTTTGAATGGCCATCAAAGACCCAAAAGATCCTCTGATGGATGTGACGAGAACAACATTTAACACAAACCAGTCAGACAGCACAACATGTCTTTCTGTGTGACTTTTTTATCTTTCACTTTGCTGCCTCTTTCTTGGTTTCATTTTCCGTCTGTCGCTTGTTTCCTCCTTCTTGGTTTTGTTTTCTCTTGCTTGTTTTCCTCTTTCTGGGTTTTATCTTCTCTTGCCCGCTTTTTTCTTCTCTTACTTGTTAGTTTTTTGCTCACTTTTGTTGTTCTCAATTTATTGAATAATATGACTTCACTTGTAAAATAAAACGATCAAAATGACAAAGTGATGAGTCGTTATGGGACAACATCATAAATGATGTGAGAATAATTTAGAAAGTGAGTGAGGAAAGCTGTTTCTTCTTCTTCTTCTTCTTTATCGCTGTCATCCTCCTCGGTATCATCGCTTTCATCTTCATCATGATCATTTTCCATCTTCTTCCTTGAAGAACGTTGAGTTGGGGTTTCCATTGGTGTTGTGGGAGTCCTACGGATGAGTGGAAAAGAAGTGATGTGAATGAAAAATCTGGTGAAGTCGGTTAGAAAAGAAGCGATCTGAATGGAAGATTGGGTGAAGTCGAGTGGAATGAGGTGAGTGCGGCTGGGAGGCAAGCCGCAGAAGTTGGCGGGTGATCAAGGGTTTGACTGCCCCCGGCGATGTTTCCAGGGTCAGACTGCAGGACCGTTGGAGCGCAAAAAAGTGACCCGGGCCGCCAAAGTTCGCCCCCGAATGCCCGATCGCGGCTCCGTTAGAGATGCTCTAAATCACAAACTGCAAGGGTCCAAGATCCGAGCAGAAGTCCTCCAGTGAGAAAGATCTCTTGTTAGTATCTACAAGTGGAGGAAAATGAGGAAATGAAATGAGAAGAGAAGGAGAGAAGATAAGGTACTTCTTACCTAGACAGGAGGGAAAGATCTCTGCTGTCTAGGTAAAGGGGACAGATGAGACTAAATACAAAGCAGAAAGGGCTTATGTAATCTTGTGACAGGTTTGTGTAAATGTCAGCCTATGTGATGCCAAGACACGTGTCCTCTAGCTACACAAGGTGCAAAAAGTAAGAGTTTTTATGGCAAAAACTCAGGGATAGAGCTGGTACAGGTAATTCAAAAGAATTACGTGGAATTTATGGATTAAATCCAAAAAGTGGCCAATTTATATTAATAAAATTAATATAAATTAAACCAGAGGGGCCTGATAAATCAGGGGTGGTTTAATCCCTCTAAGGTATCGTGCAAAAAGCAGAGGATTTAGGTACCTGATACACTGGGGCCTGTAGCAGGTGTGGTTTAAATCCCAGGAGATAATTTTTAGGGGAAAATCTTCAAGAAAGGGTTATTACTCACTAGTAATAATCCAAAGGGGTCTTGAGGATTTTCTTAGTAGAAACTGGACAGTTGGGAGCGCTCAGAAAGGTTGATTTTGGGTGCTGGGTGATAACTGGGGAGTTTCTTGAGGGTTCTTGAGGCTTTAATAACAGCAATTATAGTAGTAACTAGGCTAATTACAAGTGTAGGGGACTTGTAAATGGTAAGTAAATTTCTATAAGGTATTGTAAAGCTGGGGGATCATTATTTGGGCGGTCAGAAGGCCCTTTAAATACCTGTGGAAGGCCTCAGGGGTTGCTCAGGGGAGCTTAGTAGGACTTGGGGGCGCTTTTGGGCCCATTTTGGCCCACATGGTGATGTAACCAGGGCTGGAACCTTGGGGATAATATTCCAGAAGCTCCAAGGGGTCATGCACGAAATTATTACAGCCAAGAATGTCCCATGGTAACCTGTGGATAGGGGCTACTCTGTTACGTGGAGCAGGTTCCTTGGAAATGGGCCACAGAATATTCCAGAGGTGTCTTCTGAGGCTTGCTACACGTGTTACCCACTGGAATATGGTTACTGTAGTATTTTCATGGATATTCTAGCTTGTTCACATTCTTATTACACGTGTGGGGGCTTTGTTGCCACGTACAATGGGGATTCTGGGGCTTTTGTGGCCCAATCCTTGGATACTGGTGCGCAGCATGACTACGTGGCACATGGGCTTGGAGACAGGACTCCACACTGCTCTATCTTCTAAACCGTGCATAATACTCCAATTCTGAGACTGGATTTGGAGTATATGCATTATGCATTATGCAGAAGTGTCATAGTACCCGTGATCTGGGGGTACCTGTTAATTATTCATGCTTGTATTACAGGATGAAGGAGTTAGAATTTGGGGTACCTTTGGCTGAGGTACCCTAGGTTAAATTGCATGCTGATTCAGAATCTGCAATAATATTCAAGGTTTTGTTTATACTTTTTAAGTTATTCATTTATTTTTATGTATTTTTTATCTTATTTACATAAGTAATATTGTTTCTTTTACTTATGTAATATTTTTAATTTATACTTAGATTTTTTATGCAATTTTATTATTTTTGTTTGCTGTGACAGGTTGTCTCTGCCATAGTAGCAAGCTGACAGTAAAGCAGGGACTACACCAACGCTGCAACAAATACAATACACAGTTTGTATCATGAGGAATTGTACCAACATATATGGCAAAGAGCCAGATTAAATGAATAAGACTCTCAATAGAACCACATTGGTCATGAAAAAAAATACATCAAAACCATGATACATTAAAAAAAACATGCCAATACATTACAAATACCGTATTTGTTGCAGCGTTGCAAGTTACCCCTCTGA